AAATGAAGAAATTACATTCATAAAGCCTTTCTTGGTTTCCTTTAAGTAAAACAGCAAGCAAGTACAGCTGTAAACTAAAATAGCCATACTGGTAAGTTTTAAACTTACATGTCAGTTATAAGCTGTCTTTGGAAAAGATGACAATAAGAACCAGAGTGAAACAGAAATAAGAGGGAGTCTCAAAAGTTTGCAGTTCAATTTTCAAATCAACTTCAGACTTCCCAAAGAACAGTGTGTAAACAGATTTTCAAATATCTATATTAAAAATTTTAAGATTTTCAGTAGATGATCAACTGCTCCCATTTTAACAGGTACAATGTGCAAAATCTTAGTAACTAAGAGCATAAGGTTTTCTTGAAGCTGAAGTACTTTTCCTCACAGTTTAAGTCCCTTGACAATCTTCCAAGATTGAATTTCTTAATTACTTCTTTGTCCTTCACTAAAACTAAATCAAGTCTTTAATTTTATTATATTTCTTCTACCTAGCCCTTTCTCTTTACATTTTTTTTTAATTATTTCATTTTTAAATTAGAAGTTTTCATAGCACAGCTGTCCCTCCTATGAACTGAGTATTTCATTTTGTAGGTGTTTTGGTTTTGTCTGGTTAGGAGTGTTGCACACTTATCAAGTTAACTGCAATTATCTTCTTTTCTAAAAGACACTTCGAAAACATGCAGGATATACTTGTACCCTGAAGAGGAAATCTAGGCTTCCCAAATTTTACAGAAGTTTATTGACTTTCATGTCCTTCCCATAACTATTTTTGCTAGTATTTTTTTGTTCCATGTTCATATGGTCAGATCTATCTTGACGAGAACATGTCAAATCTTTTTTTTTTAACTGGAGAAACCTAGCTCCTAGACCGTTTATCAGTGTATCCTATCTTTCTCTCAGAAGTTTGCTCAAGCTTTGTAAAGTACTTTCCTAACTATAAACATCAGTAATGAACACAAACTATTGTTGATTTAGACTGAAAAGCTCTTCTGTACATGGGGCCAATAATCTATCACTATCAATGCTTTGAGTCTTACTATTAACATGCTGTGGTTAAATTGTATTGTGATGAGAACCAGATAAATAGTCTTTCACATTACATGTGTTTAGTACACTGTATGTACTTCGGGCAAAATTATTCCTCAGTGAACAGAATAAGACCAACAGGGCTATGAAAATGGTCATGCAATTCAAACCTCCACCTGTGTCACATTATTATTCCTGATGCATTCCTGAAGCAAGGTTCAAACACTTCTACAGGCTCAATTCTACCACCATGAGCAAGAGGGATTAGAAATATTCACTTCACATTACAAAAGGAAAAAAGGTGTCTACCTTTGCCTAAACCTGTCTCAGCTTCTGTTCATAACATGTTGAAGGCCACCAGCCTTGGCAGAGTTTCCAGAGAAGAATATCTGCCTGTCATTTGCCTTTTTTTTTTTTTCTTTCCTCCTTTTTATTATTTCGAAAAAAACACTTATTAGCTGTGAAAATGTATAACATCATGGTCTGCTTCTTTACTGCCTGCTCTTCTCAAAGTGACACTGAACAAAAAACAACCAGGGAAGCTTCTCTTATCCTAGTGTTTGAAAAAATCAGTATTGAAAAGCATTTTTTGCAGCTTGATTGGGATCAGACAGCAATTCTGATATTACCCTACTTGTTTCAGGTGCCTGTACATGACACTGATTTGTCACAGTCACATTAACAAATTTTAAACACTATCCTGTCTTAAGTATAGCACAATTTTCAAATTAATGAAGTAAAGGATTCCTTTCTTAACTACAAATCTGGAAAGAGTTCTGAAAGAACTTAGAAACAACCAGAACAGTTATGTTTTAGCAAGTGTTACTTCTTAGCTGATCCATGATTTGTACACTGAGAGCTGTGATCTCCATTTCAGTGTTACTTAGTCTTAGGAGCTTCCTGAGTCTGTTTCTCAGACTCAGGATGAAAGCTCTTCCCTCTATGTCATGCTTCTTTTTTCCCCACAGTTCCCTTCCTTGTTCATTATTCCAATGGGAAAACAAAGAGGTTTTAACCAAATACAGCTATTACAACTTCTCCTTCCTTCTTCTCAGTAGTTTTTGCTGTTCGGTGTCTCCCAAACACCTTTTAATAAAACTAAAACTACTAAGCTCTTGGGTTTGCTGCTCATGAGTGTGAATGAAATACTTATTGCTTACTTGATGAAATGACATCACTTCACATGTATTTTAAGGAAATCTACAATAACTAGTTCACCAGAAGGAGACCATACACAACAACATTAATAAATACAGATGACAGGCATAGCATTACAGTGCTCTACACTCTAGTTCTAGACAATCCTACCATCAGAGAAACTACATCAAATTGGAAACTTTAAAAAATCTGATTACTCTCAAAACCTTTACTCAATTAGATCCAACAGGCACCTGTTGGTAACCAGGAACTTATAATTTATTCTCATTAAAAAGGGTATGCAGTGGTTTCAAGGAAATTTCTAAAACGTCTACTGAAAGCACTTTTATCTATCTAATATGTGCACTTTGTTCAGAATCACCAAGATTTTAATATTCTGTGTAACAAGAAACAGGAAAAGAATAAATATGTCATGTCAGTTTAGTAAAAATTTCATAATTAACTGCTTGAAGTGGTGGGTGAAATGAAGGATAATAGTTGATAAGACATTCCTGCTACTTCTTGGGAACAATGATAACCACAAAATCACAAATCCACATAACAATTTTTCAAGGAAGGGGCCTTTAGGAGGTCATCTAGTTCAAACCTCCTCTCAAAACAGTTTTAATCAGATCAACCTGCTCAGGATTGTGCCCAATATATTCCTGAATACTTCAAAGGACAGAGATCTCAGTCTCTTTGGTCAGTCTGCTTCAGTATCTGACGACCCTAATGGACAAAAAACAGTCAACCAATCAACCAATCAAAAATCTTCTTATAGCTAATGGGAATCAAAGCAGAAAGCCACCTACATGGAGATTACTATTGTATTGTTGTTATTCACCAACGCACTCATTTCATCTATCTGCAGAAGACATAATTTAGAAAGGTACATTCTAGAGGTACCCTAAAGTGAACTATGCATGTAATTATATGCAAAATTGTATTTTCTGAATAACAGAAATACAATGGTTTCCTCCTTCTCCAAAGATATCATCTAGATGTATTTTCACTTTCTGGAGAGTAAGAAGCTTCAAGGAGGACTGAGCAGTTGGAAATACAAACACGTTGAAGGGAAAACATCTTATTTCTGTGCTACCTGGAACATAACTAAGAAGTGGTGATGTTAAGGCAAGAACACCCCAAGTCCCAGGGCCAAAAACTGATCAAAAAGCAGTCCCAAACCTTCAGAAATAGTCCAAGACAAATGCATCCACATAAAAAATAGCCTTTGCAGGAGCCCACAGTAGACCATTCTCTGTCATGTGCAAGAACTGAATGCCTGCTAATTCCCAGAATTAGCATCTTCCTCACAAATTTATCAGAAGATAAATTGTAAATACCTGCATGTAGTGCAAGTGGGATTTTGGGGACCAGCTAGAAAAGTTTCATGGTGTTTCGATAATGAAAGCGGCAGTGGACAGGAGGTGGGTTTGAGCCAGCATAGGTATTACAATATTAGTGGATTTATAATTCAGATTGGAGAACTCAAACAGTCTAAGCTGATATCACATGAAAAGAAATATCCTTCCTGAGGGATAAAACCATACTCTTTTTCTTTCTCTATTAACATTTTTGATACCTCTGCCACTAACCAGTGATCACAAGACAGAGTCAATGAACTTCGTTATTATCTGATATACTTTCAAAGTTGGAGCAATTGTGAGGCACTAGTGATGAATTGTCAGTACTGACAGAATAATCAAAATCACCAAACTATTGTGTTTCCTTTAAATAAATGATATAGACCACCCATTTATCAACAGAATATATATATATATATATATATATATATATTTATATATATATATATTTATATATATATATATATTTATATATATACAGAATTGAGCATACTTATACGTATATACAGGAATGGAAATCAGATAAGACCAGTCTTGACTGAAGACTACAAGTCCTTATTATGTATTTCCTTGCTGATAAATCTAGCATATTTATAAATCCATTCTTAGGCCATAAGGCCTTATGCTGTTCCAGGTCTCCAATACCAGGTATTTTTTATATTTTCATTTTTTTAAATTTCAATTTTTTATAAATTTGAACATGTTACTGTATTAAATGCTGCAGCTTATCTGAATTATTTCTGAATTTCTAAAACTATCTTACTACTTCCCAGCATTTTATTAGCCAAATGTTGTGTGTATGTCACTGATATGTTAGTCTACAAACAATAGCAGGGCTACTTCTAAGCCCCCAAATGTCCCTAACCATTTCTAACTACCTCCCAAAAGACACAGCACTGATAAAATTGCACTGACATTCTTCTAGGGAGGAAAAAAATTCACAGATAGCTCTTTCATAAAGCGACAATTCACCTAAAGCAAATATTTCTCAGAAAAAGGCTGGAATAAACATTTGTTTTACAAATACAATTTGAACTTCTAGTACAGTATTTTTAAACTGTATTTATTTTGTGTTTTTATTTTTAAGTGCACTTTTATAGATTAAAAAAAAAAAAGCAGAATACAACATTTTAAAAGCTGGCCCTTCAGTTCATAAATTTTTTGACATTGCAAAATCTAATTTTGACAAGAGTGGGCAAAATTTGGCGTATTGTTTACATACTTAAAGTATTAGAAAATAATTTTCTGTGCTAACTGATTGGTTGAGGACTGAAAATACTTGGATCCACGACAAAACTGTCTCAATGAGGTAATGAGATACTGAATATTCATGTTTTGTTAACACAGAGACAAAGGTTATGACATTTAACACAGAAATATTACATTAAAATATATTGAGATATAACTACAAATATAAATGAATCTACCAATGGGAAAAACCACCCCCAGGGGAAAAAAAAAAAAATAAAAGCAGCTCACGTGGTTGAAACTGTTCTTTGCTCACACTTGTGGTTATAGTGTTCCACTACTTTCCTCCTCCAGAGTGCTTATCTTCATATCAACCTGGAAAAAAAAAAAAAAAAAGTTAAAAAAATGAAATGAACCCAGACCCAAATAAAATAAAATAAAATAGAGCAATGATATTAAAATATTTAGTTAAAAATAACTTCAGTAACTGGATCAGAAATCTTTCAGTAGATCAATGTGATAGATCATGTTCTCTGTTGTATCTTTCGTTATTTTATATTTTGAGACTCAGTATACAAAACATCTTAGACTGACCTAAAGCACTCATAAAAAAGAAAACCAGCTCAGCATAATGTGTTAAGGTTACCTAATACGTCTCAGTTTCCCAGTATTTATCAATTTTAATAAATAATAATGGAAGTTTTAAGACTCTTGTAGCTGTAGATGGCACAAAGTAAACCCTCACATGGATACAGATTGTAAGAATATATGGAGACTTTTATGTCTCAGTTATTTTCCAAAGTCTATTTGTTATTACAGGCTTGTATTACCTGGGGAAGAGTTTAAAAAGCACTAAAACACTCATGTATTGAATTAAAAAAAAAACCAAAAACACGTGTTTTGTTTTATTTCTTTATTTATTTAAGAATAAACAAACACTGAAGAGCTGAAATCCAGCACATAGTGTTCTTCATTAAAAAACCTCTTCCTTCTGGTTACATAATTAGTTGTAGTATCACTCTTAAATTTAAAAGTAGGAAGAGATAAACTAATCTTCCAGAAGTAGAATCACAGAATCATAGAATCGTTTGGGTTGGAAGGGCTTCAAAGACCATCTAGTTCCAGTCCCTCTGCCATGGACAGGGACACCTTCTGCCAGACCAGGTTGCTCAAAGCCCTGAACACTTCCAGGGAGGGGGCAGCCATAATCTTTTTTGGGGAATTTGTTTCAGTGTCTCACCACCCTCACCATAAAGAATCTCTTTCTTATATCTAATTTAAATCTACCCTATATTAGTTTAAAATTGTTGCCCTCATCCTATTCCTACACTCGCTGATGCAGAGTCCCTCCCCATCTTTCCTGTAGCCCCCTTTAAGTACTGGAAGGCCGCTATAAGGTCTCCCTGGAGCATTCTCTTCTCCAGGCTGAACAACCCCAACTCTCTCAGCCTGTCCTCATAAGGGAGGTGCTCCAGCTCCTGATCATCTTCATGGCCTCCTCTGCACTTGCTCCAACAGGTGCCAGTCCTTCTTACATTGGGACCCCCAAAGCTGAACACAGTACTCCAGGTGGAGTCTCCCGACAGCAGAGTAGAGGGGGAGAATCACCTCCCTCGACCTGCTGGCCACACTTCTCTTGATGCAGCCCAGGATAGAGTCAGCTTTCTGGGCTGCAAGCACACATTGTTGGTTCATAGTCAGTTTTCCATCTATTAATACCCCCAAGTCTTTCTCTGCAGTGCTGCTCTCAATCCACTCATCGCCCAGCCTGTATCTGTGCTTAGGATTGCCCTGACCCATGTGCAGGACCTTACACTTGGCCTTGCTGAACTTCATAACATTTGCACAGTCCCATCTCTCAAGTCTGTCAGGTCTCTCTGGATGGCACATCCCTTCCCTCCAGTGTGTTGACCACACAACACAGTTTGGTGTCACTGGCAAACCTGCTGAGGATGCATTCAATCCCACTGTCTATTTTGCCACCAAAGATGTTCAACAGTACTGGTTCCAGAGATGACCCCTGAGGAACACCACTCCTCACTGCTCTCTATTTGGACATTGAGCCATTGACTGCAACTCTTTGAGTGCAATCATCCAGCCAAATCCTTATCCACTGAGTGCTCCATCCACCAGAATCATGTCTCTCCAATTTAGAGACAAGGATGTCATTGCACAGGTCCAGGTAGATGATGTTAGCTGCTCTTCCCTTGTCCACCAACACTGTCATCCTGTCATAGAAGGCCACCAAATTGGTCAGGTAAAACTTCCTATTCATGAAGCCATGTTGGCTGTCACCAGTCATTTCCTTGTTTTTCATGTGCCCTTGCATAGTTTCCACAGGATATGCTCCATGATCTTGCTGGGCACAGAGGTGACACTGACTGGCCTGTAGTTCCCCAGGTTTTACTTTTTTTCCTAATTTTTATAAATGGGGCTAAGTTTCCCCTCATTCAGTCAGTGGGAACTTCACAGGACTACCATGACTTCTCAAATATGATGAATAGTGACTTAGCTACTTCATTTGCCAGTTTCCTCAGGACCTGTAGATGCATCCCATCAGGTCCTATGAACTTGGGCACCTTCAGGTTCCTTAGATGCCTCAAACCTGATCTCCTACAGTGGGCAGCTCCTCACTGTCCAGTCCACACCCTTGCCTTCTGCATCTTGGGCAATATGGCTAGAGCACCTACCAGTGAAGATAAGCAAAAAAGTCATTGAGTACCTCAGTCTTCTCCATATCCTGGGTAATCAGGTCTCCTGTTTCCTCTAGAGAAGGCCCACATTTTCCCTAATCTTCCTTTTATCCCTGAAGTACCTATAGAAGCTTTTCTTGTTGTCCTTGACATCCCTAGCCAGATTTAATTCTATCATGGCTTTGACCTTCCTAACCTGATCCCTGGCTGTTCAGTTTCTCTCTATTCCTCCCAGGCTAACTATCTTTGCTTCCACCCTCTATAGGCCTCCTTTTTGTGTTTGTGTTTGTCCAGGAGCTCCTTGTTCATCCATGCAGGACTCCTGGTGTTCTTACCTGACTTCCTCTTTGTTGGGATGCATCATTCCTGGGCTGGGGGTGGGGGTGTGATCCTTCAATATTAACCAGCTTTCTTTGGCCTCTGTTCTTTCCAGGACTTTACCCCATGCTACTCTGCCAAGCAGATCCCTGAAGAGGCCAAAATCTGCTCTCCTGAAGTCCAGGGTAATGAGCTTGCTGTGTGCCCTCCTTGCCCCCCTAGGGATCTTGAACTCCACCATTTCATGGTCCCTGCAGTCAAGGCTGCCCTTGAGCTTCACATTCCACACCAGCCCCTCCTTGTTGGTAAAAACAAGGTCCAGTATAGCACCTTTTCTCATTGGCTCCTCTATCACTTGGAGAAGGAAGTTATCATCAGTACTCTCCAGGAACCTCTGGGGTTTCTTATGCCCTGTAGTGTTGTCCCTCCAACAGGTATTGGGGTGGTTGAAATCTCCCATGAGGACCAGGGCTTGTGAACATGTGGATGCTCCTATCTGTCTATTGAGAGCCTCAGCTGCTCTGTCTACCTGGTCAGGTGGTCTGTAGCAGACCCCACTGTAACGTCACTTGTCCCTGCCCTCCCTTTAATCCTGATTCGTAAGATCTCAGTCGGCAACTCATCCATCCCCAGGCAAAGCTCCATGAACTCAAGCTGGTTACTGAAATACAGAGTGAAACCCCCACCTCATCTGCCCTGCCTGTCCTTCCTAAAGAGCCTGTATCCTTCCATGACAACACTCCAGTCACAGGAGTCCCTAAAAATCAGGGACAAGAAGAAATAAGATAAATTCTGGATTCATTCCCCATTTGTTGGCAGTGGAGTAGAATCGAACATAAATTATTGGGCAAGGGGAAAAAGCAGAGGAAACACAGACTATGAATTATGGTTCTTTACTGAGGATAATCCTAGTCAAGACTGTGCGAGAACTATGTTCCCTGATCTTGGGCCAGTATCTAAGCAAAAAGAGCTATTCATAAAGTAAAGAATAGTTTAAAAATTGAGATACATCTTGGAAGCATGGGATAGAAAGGATATAGCCTGGAAGCATAGGATTGCAAGTAAGTCAATTTGTACAACTATATCATGCTTTCTCTAAAAAGAAGACAGAAACTCCCCCCATCTTCTTCTCGACATACCCCATCCTGAAGACCGACAGCATTTTCACAAAGGTATATTCTTACTAAAAGCAGATGCTTTATACTGTTCTCTATATGTTTTACTACAGAAAATCCAATATAGAGCGAAGCCTCAGAAATTAAGTGGTCAAATTATATTTATATATATATATATATATATATATAAAAAAATATGTATACACACTATATATTATATACATTATATATATAATATATATACTATATATTATATATAGTTGAAAAAGGTGAAATGAAACAGTCAAAGCAGAAACATTAATTGTTAATAATTAGAGCTAATGTGTGAGAGATCTTTGTTTTGGGTAATGTCTAGTTTAGAAATCATAACTTTTCACATAGAAGGATAGATGTGTCTTCAAATACATTTTACTCGACAATTACAACACTGTTTCACCTAGCTAATGCCATTTGTATAATCAGACTTAGACTGTGAAAGGGTATCTTCCTCTTCTGTATAGCTTATAAGAACCGTAGATCTGATACTCTAGCACTGAGTATGATTTATTTGTTACTCTACTGATGGTTTTTTACTATGGTATGTAGTTCAGCAGCTTCCTATTTCAGTAACTTTGTAAGTGTGAATATCACATATATTATTTGGTTTTATTGTTTTTTCTACAATCTCTTTCACAAACATTGCAATTTCAGACATTTTCTCAAAATCAGTTCCCTCTAAAGAAAAGCTTCAGTGTAGAAACATCTCCCAGTTCTTTCAATATAAACACCTATCCGAAGTATCTGGCATCATATTTTCCTAGTGGACTAATAGACATAGTACCAGAAAGAATTTCCCCCAGTCCTCAGGTATGGGCAACCATGTTACACAGTCTATCTAAATATTAACTTATATGTCTCCAGACAAATGGAACTAATGGTAATACTGTTCCAGATCCATGCTTTTATCATATTAGATATCTAATTTCCAGTTTACATGTGTCTGAGGCCAATTAATAATAATTTGTTCCTGGATACACTTACTACAAGTCTTACAAATAGAAAAAGATCTAAATCTCTTTTCCTAATATGTGACTGGAATATAACAGACTGAGAGAAGAGCCATGGTCAGAAAATAATTAAATAAAAGCAAAAAAAAAAGATTCAGAGACAGAAAGGGCAGCAGAGTCAAAAGACAGTAGTAGTATAGACTGCAGTAACTTAAAAGGATATGGAATCGTTCCAGAAATATGTGTAGTAGTATAGTTCAGAT